TTCCAAAAACTTACATGATACCAAACATAACTACCTTAGATTAAATAAAGATATTTAGAATGATTGTAGCACACATTGAATTCCAAACGATAAAAAATCGTCCTTTCCGCTGTAAAATAATTGCTCCTCCTAATCAGCAATGGGCTGTCACTTTATTGACAGACCATTTTACTGGTCATCTAGAAAATTATTTTGCTGGAAGGATTGCTGAACTTCGAGCTCGGAAAAATCCAGCACAATAATGTTGCTGGTTTGCGGCAACAAAATGTGGTGGCTTTGCTTGCTATTGTGAGTGTGTTGATGAGTGAGCCCAACAGCGTCCGTTTAATGTTGCCTGCTTTGATTGTAACTCACACAGTCGCGCCTGCCGAGACGAACTTGGAATGCGTAGGCATTATTTTCATTTTCTTCTGTCGTTTCGCTTTTCTCATGATTGTACTGCAGAAGTCTTCACTGTTTTCGTTGTGCTTTTCATCATCAGCAGCGAGTGTAACGTTTTGCTTGTGAGCAGCGACCATTACTGGTGATTGATGTTTTCCATGGCTCTACCTCTCACTGCGTGACAAAACGTTCTGTCAGCGAAAGTCGGTTGATGCGTAGACGAGTGTCACGTGAGTGTCATGATATTTTGTATCACTGGTGGTGTGTAGTATATTTTCTATAGGGAACACTGATTTAGCAATTTTTTCAAGAATTAGCACGATATAGTGTGTATGGATTAGAACATTGAACATTGATAATATAAAAAAAAAATTAAAAATAACGAAAAAGCTCTTATCCGTTTACATGACGAGTAAATAATAAATTGGCACCTAATGGGTTCAACCAAAACTAACTAAATTAAAAAAAAAAATAATAAAATAACCCAATAAGCATTTGTAGAAAGAAATTAAAATATTATCTAGCTTCAAACAGGGGCACAATCATACAAGTTAAGAGTTCATTCCTTTCGATTGGAATGAAAGCTAAATTAGGGACTTCAATCTTGATTTTATATCAAACTTCGTGATTTTTAAAGTTAGCTAGTCCAAAGATTGATGGACTCCGTACTAAGGAAACACCTGGGTATTAGATGTTTCGTTTATATGGATGATATCATCATCTTCTCCCCTTCTTTAGAGACTCATCTTCAAGACATTTCTAAGGTTCTGCAAACTCTCAAAGGAGCCAACCTAAAAGTGCAATGTGATAAATCGGAATTTCTCCGCAAGAAAGTTTAGTTCCTTGGTCACGTTGTGACAACGGAGGGAGTAAAACCGAACCCTCATAAGGTAGAGGCAGTTTTGAACTGGCCCTTGCCGAAAACTCCGAAAGAACTAAAATCCTTTTTGGGAACCGTAAGTTATTATCGACGGTTTATCCCAGGTTTTGCCAACATTGCCAAACCACTCACTACACAGTTGAGAGGAAAAAACAAAACAATCGATTACAATTCCGTAGAATTTCAAAACGCCTTTACAAATTTAAAACAAATCATGTCTTCGGATTTGTTACTAGCTTACCCCGATTTCGATAAACCCTTCCTTCTAACAACAGATGCCTCCAATATTGCTATTGGAGCGGTTTTGGCACAATTAGTAGATGGAAAGGAAAGGCCAATAGCCTACCTATCTCGGACGCTTTCTAAAGCCGAGCAAAATTATTCTGCCACGGCTAAAGAACTATTGGCTATTTACTTTGCAGCTAGAAGGTTCAGACCATATTTATATGGAAGACCTTTTACAATATATACGGACCATGAGCCCTTGACGAAGGAGCTTAAGTTGACTGACGCTACAGGAAGAGTTACACGTCAGCGACTCTACCTAGAACAATATGACTTTAAAATTGTATATAAGAAGGGAAAGCAGAATGTTGTGGCGGGTGGACTTTCTAGAATCCCACCCGCTGAAATCAATTTACAAGAACTATCGAATGAATGTCATCCTAATAATGAAATATAGGGTTACGGTATGTAATGTGGGTCTAGTCCTTTCATTCGGCCTATCACGCAAATAAATAATTAATTAAGGAATATTACACAAAAAATAAGGAAAATATTGATCACTGATGGTTGATAAATGTGTACCACACACAAATCAATTTATATCACAACATTTCAATACATTTTCAGCTCTCGTAAGTAATAAAACTGGTTGAGAATATCACAATGTTCGGAGTTTTTAGCCGCCATGACTTATAAGGTTAAGATGGGAAGGTTGACTGACGATCATCAAATGGCCTGATTATGGCATTTATTGATTGGAATTACCTGATAATACACACTAGACGTAAAACTTACAGTTGCTGTTTGAATATTTTATGTTTATTTTAATTGTTTAACAACGTTTTCACAAGTAAAACATGGACCCAACTTTAGGGACACATTTCTTTTCTATGTTCCTAACTATGGCCCATGAAATTCATTTGACAGCATATAGCAATAAGAGTAACGTCAACAATGTTGTTTTGCATTTGGATGATAAGGAACGAACAGGAAGGGAGATTTTTTCTGCCAAACCTGTATAATGAACATCACAATGTTCTGATTTAGATATTCTGCGGTCAAAAGACGATAAGCGAAATTTTTAATTTTTAATTTTTAAATTGAGTGATTTAATGTAGTTTTCGTAAAATTTTCTCTAAGAAATGTTTTGAGGAATGAAGAGCATTAAGTTAACAGTGATAGTGATAAAAAAAAATACATCAGAAAACGTTACCAAGAGCGTTTTTTTGAGGATCAAACAAGATAGGACGAAGTTGCATCCATAAATAGACCCAATTTGGGGACAATAGACCCATATTACATACATTTCCCTCGTGAGTTATTGTCTTAAAAAAAGTAAGTTTTTCAACTTTTCGTGGTTTCTGATAGCAAACGACATGATAAGCATATCTAAGCATACCATTTAGCAGTAGAATATCGTTTGCAGGTAAATTCATTGATGAGTTATGATTAAAAACGTAATCGATGGCTGCATATTAGACCGAGGTTAGGGACGTATACCCTACGGTTCGGAAATTGTCAACAAATTTCAAAATCAGCTTGTAATCAGGATTACTTCAGACAAAAGGAAAAGTCCACACATTATGTGTAAAATTTTTCCGGGTCAAATACGGCATGTATTCCACAAAGAAAGACTTTCAGATGATGAACTTAAAGAAATTTTAAAGAAATATTTGGATCCTACCTCCAGTAACTGCATATTCACTCCGGTGGAGATTATACGCAGTTGCGATAAAATTATTAAAGCAAATTATAGCAAAAATTTAAAGGTACAATATTCTAATATTCTTCTACCAGATCTAATTTCAGGTGCGGACCAGCAAGAATTTATATCTAAGCATCATTACTTTAACCACAGAAATTATCAGCTGACATATGAGGAAATTAGGAAGTGCGCTTACTTTCCTGGTATGCTTGGCAAGGTTAAAGCATTTATCAAAAATGGTCAAGACTGTAAATTCGCCAAATACGAGCGAAAACCATTTATTAAAATACCTATCGCTCGAAGGATTTACGAGAAACCTTTCGAAAACGTTTTCATTGACGTCTATGTCAAGGAGCGACACAAATTCCTCACTCTCGTAGATTCTGTTTCCAAATTCGCACAAATATTTCAAATCGAAAATGAGACAACAGAAATACTTCAAGAAACACTGATCGAGTATTTCAAAATCTTCGGGTTGCCGAAAATGATCACCTGTGATCAAGCGGCGGGATTTCGAAATGCTCGATTTAGAGCCTTTCTAGAGACGCAAGGGATCGCATTGCATTTTGCTAGTGACAGAAGAGAAATCTACCTAGCAAACCGCAGCAAAGTTGAAAACCTGACCCTCTATGAAAGACTCGCACTGGTTACTGCGCTTTACAACGACTCAAAGCACAGTACGACGGACTTGAAGCCTCGCGAAATTATTTCGGAACAAGCGATTCATTAAATCTAGCTGAAATTAATCTCGCGAAACAAATCAACATACAGACTGCACGGGACAACATCAGCCGATTTGCATCGAAAAATACAGAGACGCCTTTAGAAAATAGACAATATAAAAATATTGAAAAGACTAAAGTATTGGTTAAAGGAAAGGCAAAACCACACCCTTACGGAAATCGATACAGACTAATAGACGTAAAGGAACAAAACGAAAAAAAAACAGTAACTGACGACCAAAGCATAAAAATCCATAAGACTAGTATCAAACACTCTGACTGACGCAAAGTTGACCTTTCAGGCTATGTCTGCTGGCAACAAGGACACACGCGGACATACGGATACACAACGTGGAGAAAAACCCGGTGGTAATCATCCCGATAGGAATAGCTAAAATCAGCAGCAGTAATTTGAGAATTGGACATCATATAAACCTTAATTCACTTGCAGAGACAATGAAAAATCTAGACTCAATAATCGAAAACCAAATTTCTAAACAACAAATGTTAAGTCCAATATTAAAAGTAAAGTCAGAAAAACTCCATTCAATGTACAATAAATTTAAACCCTCTAGACAAAAGCGATGGGAAAGTTTAGGTCGCGCTTGGAAATATGTATCAGGCAGCCCGGATGCTGACGATCTAAATATTATTAACGGTACAATTAATTCTCTTATTGATCAGAACAACAGACAAGTTAAAATATTTTTTTTTTTCCCTTTGGTTTGTTTTTTTTCCGTCGATCTTGTTTTCCGTGCTGAGCACCAATGCTACCGACATGCCAGGAAGGCAGCTCCCACACCTGGACCCTACCTATCAACCCATCAACTCATGAACCGGGGACCAACGGCTTTACTTCCCATCCGAAGGAAGGCGTGATGCCTCAGAACATCCCGGTGGTGCCGACTGGGATTGAACCCAGGCCTGCTGGGGTGAGAGGTAATCACGCTTACCACTACACCACCGGCGCCGTTAAGTTAAAATAAATAGCATACTGGAAACTAGAATGAGAAATAGCACAGAATCAATCAATACTTTCGTTAAATTTCATGATAGATTTCAAAATAAAACCATTGACGGTTTTGAGTCAGTTAATTTGATATTTCATTTAGATGAGTTAATCGATCAGTTAGGACTAATAGAAGAAGCGATCACACTAGCCCGACGCAATATCCCCAGCAGCCGCATCATTTCACCAGAAAGGATAACCATAGCCCAGGAATTCCTCAGCAACAGTGGTCTTGGAACGGGTGCAGTCGACAACACATTAGGGTAACTGATGATGGTTGGACCTATTTAGGCCGGTTTCACACGACGTCAACATTCATGTCGTATTTTTTTTTATGAATTCAACATATAATTATGAAAAAAGCGTGATTAGGGGAAAGATCTACCTTTCTTGTTTCTAATAATAACATTAAAAGTTAAATATTATGAACAAATGATTTAATAAAACGTTTTTATTCAACAAAGAATTATGATGTTGGTTGGACCTAAAAAATGATGATGGTTGGACCTATTTTTGCAAATGCTAGTTTAGCCCATATTTGTTCAAAAACTTTGTTTAGAACTTATTGGTATCATGAAAAAACTCTTATTATACAGTTTTTATGAATTTGCTATTAAAAAAACAAGAAATTTGGGTTTAACTTCGTTTTTAAAAAATGTTCACTTTCCACGCATTAGCTATTCATCAGGGCTTATTTTCTAGGGAATCATTGACCCGATTTGGAAATTTTTAACGTCAAACTATAGGTATTGTGGTCCCATTGAAAGCTATCGAATATTTTGGAATCGGTCAACTGGTTCCGGAGATATGGCCGGAACAAGTTCCAGGGTATATGGAACATGGACCTAATTTTGACATGGAAGGAATAAAACCTATCATGCGACACTTTACATTACTTCCAAATTCGATAACAAGATCAATAACAAAATGGAGTGCCTTGGACCACATTGGCCACTTCCGGGCCTGTTCTGGGTGCCCCCGGGGAATTTAGGGCCTTAAAATGACAGAATATCAGAACTTAATTCCGGTTTTATAGTTTTTTTTTTCTAGAAGGAGTTTTTTTTCGGAAATAAGTTTCAGTTAGCAATTTTTAGTTTGTTAACATTTTATTTCAAGTTAATTCACACACAGAAGGTGTGTGTGAAGTGCTTAATGTAAATTCATATTAACAAGTTCTTTCGGTGCTTCCGTGGTAGTTCGGAAATCGGTGGTTACCCTTTCAACCAACCTGACGATAGAATTCCTCCTTTAAATTTACGCCAAACTAGTGACGCAAGGTCTTTAGCAGCTTCCAAGATCTTTTTGGCCGTCTTGGGACTGCCAGAAGCAGCGCACATACAAACCCAATCCGCTAGCTGGTTCTCCAAATCAACACTCAACACTATTTCCCTTCCATATTTCTTGCCGTGGCTTCCTTTAATTTTTGTGTCGTTTTCGGAATATTGTACCTTTTCTGTGCCTGATACGCGGTAAGTGATTTATTTCTTACTAAAAGAAAATCCTCTTGAAGGTTTTCGACCGTATAACTCTTTTCTTTAGCCATTTTTTCAATCGAAGAAACTGATCACTCGGCCAAAACGAAATCGAGTTTCAAATCAGCTGCGCATGAAGGATGTAAACAAACTGAAGTGCACCTAGCGGCCGTTTTAGGAAACATATAGGTCCAACAATCATCATGCGTAGGTCCAACCACAGACAAACAGACGTAACTCTTCATTGTGTATCTTCGTTCAAGCATTTAACGGTTGATTAGAATATTATCAGTTTCGCGAACTACTCGCCGCAGCGCTGGCATCGGATCACTTTGACGTTTCTATACATTCTATAGAACTTTTATGCAATATTGTTTGCAAGTTAGCGAGCATGCTAGTTTTCCGCGAGAAGCCCGAGAGATGTCGTTACTGAGATCCTATGTATTGAGATACTATGTTTTCAAGAACAACTTTTTCAAAGAGTTACGTCTGTTTGTCTGTGGTCCAACCATGATCATATTTAGTTATTCGAATTTCGTCAATTATTCAAACATTTTAGTGAAACCAATGGATAAATGGCGTACTAACGTGCTGTTTACACCTTAAAGCAGTATTTTACTGCACGAAAATAAAAATAAATGTGAAAAATATTCCCTTTTTGTATGTTTGAAAGTAAGGCATGATGACGAGCTATTGCGTGAAAAGTGATCTGTTTTGAAAACACATTGAAACTCAATTGTTTTGAAGTTTTTTCAATAAAAAAATCCATGCAAATTGAAGAAAAAGAGTTTTTTATGATAGTAAAGTGATCTTTGAAAATAAAAACTAAGCGAAGATTGACTAAACTAGCGATTGGAAAATAGGTCCAACCATCATCAGTTTTTGGATAGGTCCAACCAGAATCAATAACCCTAGATATATCCAGCGCCTACGTACTGTTTGGTAAGGAAGAAATTATTTACACGCTCAAAATTCCACGAGTCAAAGATGTGGAATATCACTTAAACTACATAGAACCAGTAATTTCCAACAACCATCGAATCCACTTAACGGCGAAATACTACGTGAAAGGACTTAATTCCTTTTTAACCAACACTCCGTGTAAACGGCATCGAAATCAATATATCTGCACGAATTCACAACTAGAACCGTTGGGAAAATGCGTTCAACAGTTGGTTGATGGCGAATCAGCTCAATGTCCTATGGAGAAAGTATATGGACAAAATTTCACAAAGCGAATAGAAGATGCAAACATATTGGTGAGTGCTAACAACGTCACCCTAACATCAAACTGTTCAAGGCAAGTAAGAGAGCTACGAGGATCATACCTTATCCAGTTCTCTGGCTGTACCATCAAGTTGAACGACGAGGAATACACCAACAACAACACCGACGTATTACAGAAAACTTATCTTCCAACGACAGGACTAACGGTAACTCCTTCAAAAATCATAAACAAGATGCCTTTACAGTACTTACAGGAAATCAATCTGGAGCACCGGAGTCATATAGAGCATCTGAATATGACTACGGACAACATACACTGGCAACTACATCTGGTTAGCTGGCTCTCATTTGGAACATTATCAACCCTAATACTAGTGCTCCTAGCAGTATTAGTTACAAAGACAGTTCTTTCATTCTTACCATGCAAATCGACGCCCTTCTGGATACCAAGACGAACCAACACGGGAACCATCAGCACGGAGAGACCTACAGGACCAGGGATTTCAGGACTAACGCAGGACAACGACACACACCACCACATCAGGCAACCAAGATTCATCCCGCAGGAGCCAAGGATCGTGAAAGTCGGCGACGACTTTCCAGTAGAGGGGGAATCGTCAGGAAAATACTGATAGGTGGATTGACCAATCAGGCAGTAAGGTTGGTTGGCGCGAAAACGTGGCGCATCACGCCACGTAGCTCCACCAATAGGAGACAGGTAACATAATTTTGTAATGTAAGCATATTTAGTCTTTAAAACGGTAGAGCACACGAGGCTCTACCTCTTTTTCATCATAAATGTGTAACGTGTAAGATCGGTAATAAATAGTGTTAGCATTAAAAGTTCTTTTTAAAAAGTGAACTACGAAGAGATCCAAGAAAGATCCCTTAACTTATAATTTTCTTTTTTCATCAAACATTAGAAGCTGGAAAGCATGTGGGTTTGGAATCTCAAAACAATTATTATTAAAACTTTCAAAATTTTGAGGATTGTTCATTGGCATATATTTTGAACTATTTCCTATATCCTAAATGTATTTATTCTATATGCACAATACGATAATTCAAAGCCCGAAATTTTTAAAATTGAGGGGGTTAGAAGGAAAGGGGTGTAAGTGATTCTGATCGATTCTCTTTATCGACTTTCTCTTTCGTGCAAACACATTTTTCGATTCGTGTGCCATTCTGGATATAAACGTATAGGCATGGTATGACTGCTATATCCACCCTATTGCATGCAACTTTCACAACCGATGAGAGCGACTCAAAATTGAGTCGAAATTGACTCAAAATTGCATAAAGTGGAGTTACTCAAAGACGGAATAAAACTGGCATCGATTTTCTTGCACGGCCAATCAGAACGACTCAGCGACTGAATTCAATTGACTCAGAGCATTTTCTTTCCATACAAAAGATACTCATATTTCGGAAAACCTACAGTAATTCGTTAATCGATCTGATTAGCAGTGTGATATCCAAGCCGATTTTTAGGGAAAATCGAGGAAAGTTCATCGCATCCACTGAGTACCCACAATTTTGAGTCGAATTCGACTCAGTTACTATTGTACCTTATTGGGCGTGTAGCCAACTTTTCATATGCTATGAAAAACTTATAAATTAACTCATTTTTTACCCATTTTTTACCCAATTTCTTTATATTCAATAACCAACTGTTTATCCTTTCTTTCATGCAATATATCGATTAACCTGCACGGCCGTTGCATTCACCTCAAATTTGTTTATCAATTTATTCAAATTCACTAAAAAGCTGAGCATTGATAGACTGAGTAAATACTCCTCAAAAATCTACTCGAATATGAAGAAAATAGATTGAAATTTTAATCAGTCCATGAATGTGCTCTTAGACTGAGTAATATTTTCTCGAGTTTCTTCATAATCACGTAGTTATTTGAGGAATAGCGATGTATGTATGAATTCAAGCTGAACATTGCATTAGGTCCTAAATAACATTGACAGATTCTCTTCATCGACTTTCTCTTTTTATTCCAACGGCCATGTAAAGAGATTTTCATTTCAATCAGCACACAGATTGATAAAAAAGCATTTATCCAGCATCTAATATAATAAACACAACAAGAAACGGATATGTTCTCAAGTTATTAACGAAAGAGAAAGTTGACGAAGAGAATGTTACTTAGCACCTAAGGAGCGATTTTCAGAAGTTTTAGACCCCCCTGTGTAGACAATCGTACATACATTTTTTTGAAAATTTGAATGAACCGTAGGCATTTGTCAACCCCCCTCTAAAGAGTCTACGTAGTTTATGAACAGCCCCTAATGCAATGTTCAGCTTGATTTACTAAAACCCGAGTTGACGTTGTTTCTCGGACTACACGGCCGATTAGATCAACCCAAATTTGAGTTCAGCTTACTCATAATCGCAAAAGGTGCATGAATTAAGATATGAGTAAATTTGCCTCATGTGTGGAAAACCTCAAAAATCTGCAGGAAATGAGGAAAATTTAGGAAAATTTTACTCAACCTTGGGGTATTAGTAGACTGAGAGAATCCAATCTTTACTTTTCTCACATTCGGGAAGTTTTTCCTGTAAAACCCTGGAAAAACAAGAGGCAAATTTACTCATCGCTGAGCTCCTTCACTTTTTTCGATGTATAAGTAAACTAAACTCAAATTTGGTTTTGTCTCATTGGCCGTGCATTAACGAAACTAGGCATACTGAGGCTCTGAACCATTTGGTGGATTATTTTAACTTTTGGTTAAAATTTGACAGATGAAAAGTTATCGATTAACCCTGCTATCCGAGCGTGGTTACTTCTGACAGACAAGAAGTTAAATTTTGACGACCGTGGCTCGAAAATCGGTCGATCGACAGCACGGGGATTTTCGAACATAAGAAATAACTTTCGAAATGTCACTTTTAACCACGAGTTAAATTTAACTCGGCAAATGGTTCACAGCCTGAATCTAAAATATTAGGTTATTTCAACGGCCGTGCATTTTGTTGGAGCCGTTATATTCGGTTGATGTCTTCGGTGAACGCTTGATGCGACCTCGTGTTGTGATAAAAGAAACCTAAAATTTATATTTTCAGATCTAGAGTGCTACACACTAAAATAAAAATATTTGGTGCCAAGAAGCTCTGACTTTCCGAAAAAATAATAAATCTAGATAGAGCTGGAATTATGGCGTAACAGCTTTTGTAAACAATGACTTCTTTAGATGATTGCTAGAAAGATAAGGCTCACCAACGCAAATCAACAACACCATCGGGTAGAGGAAGGCTTCCCCTACCCGACGGTTATGTTGGTTTTGCGTGGGCGTGCCTTGAGTGGATCATTGAAGATGCTGAGGTTTTGACAGCACCGTACTGTGGCTACCACAGTATTTTACATTGGTTCGTCCGTATACAGTAGCGCCAAATGAAAGCTGTGGTGGGTTCAAAACTCAGCCATCTAAAATGATCCGTTCCTAGAAATCGTCGATAGAAGTCATTGTTTACAAAAGCTGTTACGCCCTAATTCCAGATCTATCTAGAAATATTTAGAGATGTAATAGTTATATTTTTTACAAAATCATGTTTAAGCCCTGCATTAGATGAAAAAATAAGAAATAAAATTTTGTGTTCCTATGCGATATGTGTTCGTGTTAATGAGATTCAGCATTTTAATCATAATGGGAAGGCGTATGTTGTAATTACTACTTATATCCTAAAACCACTTGAACTCTATCACATCGTGTTTTTCAACGATGTACGCGAATATCAACAAGCATAGTTCCAATAACAAATTGAGTCGTTTCACAAAGGAACAACTAGGACAATAGTCTGGCTAAAATTATTAGGTGATGTTTTGAATTAAATTAAGCTCTTTGGTAATAGTAATTGAAATCAGATCCAAAACTGTCCAAACCAAAACCGCTTGTAAATGTCGGACCAATCGAGTCTGACTGAGGTCTTAATTCTAATGTGTTCATAACAACTTGATACGTAATTGGTCCATTGACTTCTCGCCGCAAAATCTCACTAATGCAACCTTGCTAGTGTAATATTGTCAACCAAGAAAAAAGGCTATCAAAGTGTTCGCCTTGACAGCAGTTTGTTTTTTTAATTTGAACCAATAAAACGCACGTAGGGGAAATGACTCTAATGTTGGTCTATGGATCTAAGATTGGGCCCATCGCTTAAAATCTGCTATTTATCAATTTTATCTAGATGAATGCGTCTTTGGGACGGTACTAATGGATATTTTTAGTCCCTATTGAAAAATTAGTTGACTGTTTGAATTTATGTATGGACCCAAATATGGGACATTTAGGCCGAAATTACAGTGGCAAACAGTGACTGAGAAGCTCATCGATTAAATGGTATTTTTTACCATTAAAGATTATCAGAAGAGAGATACGAGATACGTGCGTCTTAAAGAGCTTTAAAGTCTTTCGACCACGACTTTTAATGCCGTTCTACGTATATCTGTCCCATGCTCTAAAAGTAACATCTGAGAAAATCCCGAATAATGTTTCGAATCATTTCTGCTCATTGGAAGAAATATAAGTTAAAATAAGTTAGTTCTCATTTCAACAGAATCAATTTGTTTTAGTGAAAGCTATAGAATGTACCTTTAATGGAATTAGTTAAACCTATTTTTATACGAAAACAATTCAGTGGGACTGTTATTCCGAGAAATTTGCTATGAAGTAGAATATTCTACGCATGTCAGTCCCACTAAGAACTTTAACTTTCCGTGTTGCTTTGATGGCCACTAGACTGATGCAAAATTTGAAATTTTCGCTCCACAATGCTCAAACGGTTTCAAATCAGGTCCTGATTAGCCTCCCAAAATTTAAGCTCATTTGGTAAGAAACTGACTTGGCATAAACTATTCGAAGTTTATATGGAAATTACTATGGGAAAACCAAACTTTTTGGTCATTGTTTCTACCCATTTTCCATATTGCTTTCTTGAAAATTTCTATAACTATTATTACGGGAAATATTCTAAGCTACAACTTTGCGAAATATAATTTTTCAGCAAAATGTCTAATTAAATTGTTATTAATTGTTTAAGAGATTGATAATATTATGGTATGATCAAGCAGCTGGTCTGTAGGCAACACTGTATTCAGCAGTGTGACATAGTAGCCATGATATTTGTGCTCTATTTTTCGCACCAGAAGCACCAATGTTGCCTGCTGAACAGTTGAATGAGCATAATCATATAATCATAAGACATCAGTGACTTGACTCAGTAATAACTTTTGTTCCGTACATTTGATTGAAAAGTGGTTTTGAACAAAGTTGTAGCTGGGAAAATTTGCTACAATCACTGCTATCAAAAGCATAGTGCATAGTGGTGTGGTGATTGTTAGATAGATATGAACAAAAACACAAGTTTTCCCATAGTAATTCCCATATAAACTTGAAATGGTTTGTGCCAACTCAGTTTCTTACTAAAGTAGTTCAAATTTTGGGAGGTTAAGCAGGACCCTATTTGGAACCGTTTAAGCACTGTGGAGCGAAAATTTCAAATTTTGCATCACACAGTTCGAAAAGTAGTGTAAATTTCTGTTCAATATGATGCACACACAAATGGAGCGTCATATTTCATATAAGTTTACATTATATATCATGTAAAGTTCTAGCACAATTCATGCAATGTAGCAAATATTGTATACAAAAGCCCATCTTTGTAAACATTATTGTTTACAAGATGCTCGGTTGTGTGAAAATAAATTTAAGTTTACGTGAATGAATGTTTACATCACAATTAAAATTCAGAATTTTTATCTGTGCAGTCTAATGACCACGTTGCGTTTGACATCTTTACTCTTGTGGTTGTGTTTACATGAGCGTGCTTGAGTTCTCCGCGAAGTTTTGAAAGTGGATAGTTTGCATAGGTTTGCATCATTAACTGAAACCAACAATAAGTGCGTTGACATTGCTGCAATCGTCGTTAGCTAAATCTATAAAGCCTTTTAAAGTATGGGCAACTTGAGAAACAAATGATGAATGCTCTGTGCAGAACACAATAAGATTGCCGATCGTGAACTTCAATGATTTCAAGAAAGACTTTGGAAAAGTTAACATACACAGTAAGGATTTCTTCCGTACGGAATTGTAATTATATTCAACAAAATCTCGAGTAACATTTGAAATGGGCCTATGTCCAAAACGTGAACAAATCGGGTTTTGATGCCATTCCTTAGCACCGATTTAGCTACTAATCGTGTAGGAAAGTTCCGCATAATCGGCCAACCATTCATTTATTTCATTTCATTGATAAGCCTAGTGACGTTGAAGGGCCGATGGTTGAAAATTTTCAAACCAAAGCTAGGGCCTACTGCTTGAGGCAGGGCCGTTGATTTGTTTTGAATTTATTTGACATTGCAAAAAGGCTTAGCAAAGGCGTACCATTTATGATGACAAGCACAACGGCTTAACAAAAAGGGCCTATCCATTGAAAGATTCACACAAAGGCTTATTGACAGAGTTGCGACCTATCACAATCACGATCGCCAAACAGCTGATGGTAGTAACGCTTTGTACATTCCTATCAATGTGCTCGTCGAAGCTCTCTCCATGACCATCCATCAAGTTGACGAAAGAAGTAAAAAGCAACTGGTGAATGTCGTCCTCTATTGTGATCCATCACCGATCTGGTCATTCCCGACAATCACGACACTCATCTGTGCTCGTTTTGAAGCAGTTGCTGCTTTGCTTGCTTATGTGAGTGTGTTGGTGAGTGAGCCCAACAGCTTCCGTTTCATGTTGCCTGCTTTGTTTGTAACTCACACAGTCGCGCCTGCCGAGACGAACTTGGAATGCGTAGGCATTGTTTTCATTTGCTTCTGTCGTTTCGCTTTTTCTCATGACCGTACTGCAGAAGTCTTCACTGTTTTCGTTGTGCTTTTCATCATCAACAGCGAGTGTAACGTTTTGCTTGTGAGCAGCGACCATTAATGGTGAGTGTTGTTTGCCATGGCTCTAAGTCTCACTGTGTGACAAAACGATCTGTCAGCGATTGTCGGTTGATGCGAAGACGAGTGTCACGTGAGTGTCATGATATTTTGCATCACTGCTTATTAATTTATGAAATAAAATTGTAATCGATTTTCATATATTTTCGAAAGCTTTTCGCATATTTTGGATGTTGTATACTGAGATACAGTTACTATTGTTATTGTGAACAATGTAAATGCCTAAAATACTTCAATTTTCTTAAATATGAACTGAATAGTGGCGGAAAAATTTAAAATTCATTTTCTGGTTTGTTTACGTTTTGGACATAGGCCCATTTCAAATGTTATTCTAGAAATGCATCTACGGCAGTATATTGAAAACATTCTAACGACTAAATTTACGAAAGGACCATACGACAACGGATATTCTGAATCCGTCAACAGGAACCTTATTTTAACTACAAAATATGATAGCAGATATCAAGTTGATGAATGAACACATCAAGTGACAGAAAGTGTCATCATTGTTAACTGCGTTGCTTCGAGTTTTCTTTAGACAATAATACGTACTTTTTTGATCATGTCAATATTGGAAGATGTTTATACATCGTTGCTACATACAATTGAATTTTAAATCATGTTATTTTGTGTTATACCCCGTACAGACTATGGCTTATATCATGTAATATAGGCTACCTTGCAATGAGCACTCATACATCTAGTTTTCACTGGAAATCCTATATATGAGTGCTCATTGCAAGCCAGCCTATATTATATGATATAAGCCATAGTCTGTCCGGGGTATTAGGTTTACTTCAAGATCATTACACTGCTCCTTATCAATTGATCATTTTCACTCTAATAATGCACAGTTTGAAATCTGAACTATAACCTAGTGTTTTAATGTGAATTCCCGTTTCTCTTCATATGTTTCATCATAAAATAAAGCTGCTACTTCCCAAAATGACTCATTCAGATTTTTTGATCATATAAATCCTGTTTCAATAATTCGTGCACTCAACTCGATTCGTTAATAGAAGATTCAGTGAAAAAATCTTTGTGGGACAGTTATGCGTAGCATTTCAACGACAATTAGACTTGATGTTGTTTTTAAATAAGCCCAAAACAAATAACATGTTTTTTTTTTCATTCGAAAGTTTACCTAAAAAAAGTACTGTTCTATCACAGACAAACAGACGTAACTCTTTGAAAAAGTTGTTCTTGAAAACATAGTATCTCAATACATAGGATCTCAGTAACGACATCTCTCGGGCTTCTCGCGGAAAACTAGCATGCTCGCTAACTTGCAAACAATATTGCATAAAAGTTCTATAGAATGTATAGAAACGTCAAAGTGATCCGATGCCAGCGCTGCGGCGAGTAGTTCGCGAAACTGATAATATTCTAATCAACCGTTAAATGCTTGAACGAAGATACACAATGAAGAGTTACGTCTGTTTGTCTGTGGTTTTATGAACAAAAATGAAAAACGTCTAAAAGTAACATGGGACAGATATGCGTAGAACGACAGTCAACGTATTTCACAATCATCGAAAGATCAAGATTCACAGACTAATGGTGCTATCGCAAGGTTATCGAAGTGGATAATGAAACCAATTTTCATAGTATTTTCCAGAATTACATTTATTTTGCTTCAATACCTACAATCGAATAAATTTCTAAACTTGGTTACTTCCTTTCTCTTAGATCGGTTCCATTAAATATGGCTTTATTTTTTTTTATTTTCCATAAGATATCGAATAGCTTCAAATGTAGTTGATGACACTGTTGATCGTTCTTAATACTATGTACAGTAAATATGCTGATTACGATGTCTCGTCATTTTAACATGAATGTAAGAGTTTCCACGTGATCTTTGCAAATGCAGACGATGAAAGGATTGAAGAACTTGTTTTTATTTTTTTTGGGAAAATCAATCATGAGTAGCTACAGCGTCTATGTACATGTTATGTAACCACCTCACTTTCTTTGACTATGCGCTAATGATTTAGGGTTGCTTTAAAACCGTTTCGAGATGCTTGTACAAATTTACACCTTTTGCTTAATGTCATATATAAGTCTTACGGCTAACAAGTTATGTAAGTTTTAAATAAGAATGTGTGGAAACGGTTTTCACTAACAGGTAAAGAGATTTATGCACATCGATTGAAACTGGAGTTGCTCCTCATTTATTCCGATTCCAGCTCACTGTCAGGTCACGTGACATTGATTTCCTCGTCAGAGTCATCCGAATTGGACTCGTACTCATCGTAGTACATCCCGGACGATATATTATCGGAGGATGAGCAACTGTTGGAACGGTTGCTAAAAACAGCACCGCCTCCTGCGCTTGCCGCTAGCAGTAGCTCACGATCACGATCCGAATTAGCATAGAAACTGTTCATCAGAGGCGGCCTTGGTTGTTGTTGTTGCTGTTGTTGCTGCTGTTGTTGCTGCTGCTGTTGGTGTTGATGTGGTTGCTGTTGGTGACCGTTGCCTGAGCTACCACTGATGTCATCGAACTCGTATTTGAACTCCACGCCTACTGTGGTCGGGGGTTTGGAAAGTTCGAATTTTGGCTTGAAGTTGATTAAAGCGGATGTTTTTGCTACCGGAAGACCTCCGCCGACGAGAAGAGGTGGTTTTACTGATTGAGGAGAGGGTGATTGTTGTTGAGGAGAATGAGATTGTTGCTGTTGTTGCTGCTGCTGCTGATCGGATATGGTGGGTGGAGGTGAAGCGGGTGGCGAAAGGGACTGGGCACGATCGGTGCGAGCATCCGACAGGTCCGGGTTGGGATTGTTTTTGTTTGGCAGCGTTTGATCACGGGAACCACCGCTGGCCAGAAGCTCACGTTCCTTTGAGTTGCGCCATTTCATCCGTCGGTTTTGAAACCAAATTTTCACCTAGAAATGAAGAAAAACTTGTATTGGTTAGTGAACTCATAACAGGAGGTTTCGCAAAAAAAAACGTTACGAATTGGAATTAGAACTATGTTTATGGATTATCCCAAATGACATATCAATAACGAAGAATTAAAACCAAACATCCTGCAGCTAATGAAAATCCCAAAATGCTATTGCAAGTATATGTTTACATTTTCATGTTTCGCATTTTTGAGACGTTAATTTATTTTGTTTGTTCCTCATTCACCCATGCCACCATTAGTCTGCAATCATCGATTCAAATTTATCAACACCTAATGTTTTGACCGCATCTGGTCGATCCAGGAGCGGAAATTCACATGAAAGCGTTGATTGTCATTAATATCCTACTTGATGTTTGCCGAGACGATCATCGTCTTGCTCATATTTTGGGATTGTCCAATTTACGTCACCTTCCCTGAACTTGAACCTGTACAATAGCGGCAACGACAAATTTTGTCTTGTTTTTTATTCGTTTTCATCTACCTGGCTGTTGAATCAACAGAAACGGAAATAAGCTAATGTTTGCCAGAAGTATTAACGAGTTCTTCTCCAATCAAGGGGTGGTCTCTTCTCCAGTATCGCCTTAAAATAATAATTGATGAAAACAAAAAAAGATCTGAACGCTCATTGCTAGTCCGAAGGTCGACAAATTTCGTCAAATAATTGACCAAAAAAAAAAACAGATCCAACCCAGTAGTGGTGGCTTACCGTTGTGAATTTGGGTATTTTGTGGCTGTCCAACATTTGCAAACGGTCAACCAAAAGATGTTTGCTTGATATTCGAATTACCACTGAAAGGTAGTCGCACTTTCCGAATGTCGTCGATTGGACTTTTGGGAAAGTGATTCATGGGGTTTCGAATTTTCGATAATGTGTGACACGGAACAGCTGACGATTTTTGCGAATGGGTCATATTTCAAGTCTTGTTTGCCAGGAGGTATTGTGATTTGTAACTGTAGTTCTGCTGAGCAAATTCCATCCGAGTCAGTAATCGATTGGAAGTTGAACGTTTGTCTAGGATACAGTTTCATTCACTTAGTCCAATTGATATAATACAATCAAACATGTGATCTTTTAAAAATGTTTCCATTTGTCTAGATGAAGAGTGCCGTTCCCCTCGCTTTCGTTGTATTTGCTCTTACAGTTGTTTGCTCACTCCTAGGCTGGAGGGTGGAAGAATGTCTGGCATTTATTGATTTTTGGACGACTTATTCTTAACAGTTCCCTCTCGTAGATCATTTGTTTTGAGTTTTCAATGTTGGATCTATGAAACCAGCGGTTCTTTAAGAGTCTTTACCATTCAAATTGTTTTAAAATCCCCAAATTATTTCAAAGTAAAAAAATCGGCAATTTTTTTAACCGTCTCAAGGCTGCATTTCAACTGTATTCGAATGGAACATCAAACAAGCAGCACCGTTCAGTAGATATGTAGCCTCATTGTTGCCCTCGTACTCTCACTGTCACTATTTAGCCTATAACTATTTAGGTGTATATGGCTGGTGTCACATAAAAGTAGGTATCGCAAAGATCTCTAAAGAAACAGACGATGCTGAAGTGGCGAGTTGGGAGAAAATGAAAGTTCTCCTACAAGCATAGCCAGTGGGGTGCTGGTGGCGGATAGGAGGATCGGTTGCAGTGTCTGTGTTGCTTTTTGCCGTCGGCATCTTTTTGAGGACGACGACATAGGATAAAATCGAGCAGGACGTGAGTGTGCCAACGTTTAACTATAATTTAAAGCAAAGTGTGTATTCGGTGATTACACATTTCAAACGAATGGGGTCCTGTCAGCACCAGACTCCGACCGGCACGCGTGTTACATATATGTGGGAAACAAGCAGAAGAGACTGCCCTTCGTTGCTTTCTAGAAAATGATAGTAATTATTGATGGTGTTTTGTGTGACTGGGATTGATTAATTTATAACTCTGCAAATGATGGAATTTTTCGCTCGGCTGTGTCGTTTTTATGGTCACATACATCTATTCAATCAATTTACGACCAATTTGTTACGGAAATTTTGCAACACATTGCAATTAGTTTCAGTCTCGAACCAATTCAATAGGCTACAGCACTAATGGTTTCTTTTCTGATACTACACATGTTTGAGACCTCGATGCTCGATGCAATAAAAAAAACTTGTTGGAAACATCTGATCCAAAGGTTGAAAAATGATGCTTTGACAAATTTTTAGGATCAAAATCAATCACTAGAGCTGCAACATCAATCAACCGAACAAGGTCAAAGATTTTCCCACAGAGATTTCCCAGCGCGCTGGTTCCACTCGAGTTAATCCTACTTGGCAATAATCGCACCTAATTCAATCAGTGTTGGAAAAACATCCTTCTTTTCGTAGCCCCCTGGAACAAAAGCGCAAATCCCTCAACGACGATCATTAATTTACATTTGCAAACAAATAAATAAACACACACTCCGGAAGACTCCGATTGTCAATCCATTCTGTGGCTGCACGCAGAGCGAATTTTCCACCCTCACCAAACGCACATACCAAAAGGATAACAAACGAGGGTGGTCTGGTCTAAAGTCGAACCCGGCAGCGTTAAACCGCATCTCGAAAGAATGTAAGCCCGACGGCGCTGACAAGTAAATATTTGAGATTTTCTTTTCAGTGCGGCTTAAATATGATCCTTCCTTCACCCTAAATATCGTCAAAGCGAAGAAGGATGGAATCGGTCGGAAGAATATGTTGCTTGTTACGGACGGAATGGTTGAATTGAATTGACACCGAGGCAATTTAACCACCACCACAGGGTATGGATTTTCCGTGAAAGTGAATTGCAAACGACTGTAATAATGAGTGGTCACGTGCAGTGTATTAGCAACGGCAGATGCGGAGATTTGTATGATAGTGTTGAGAGATAACTAATTGAGACGGTTGGCGATTATGAGTTTTGTTATATGAGTAATGTCATTCTAGTACTAAAGCTGTGCAATATTGTTAATTGTATTAACATATGCTAAAAGATACTATGCAAATGAAAGTCACCAGTACTAAAACGTTCATCCAATTGATGGAGATTCATCAAAATTGTTTCGCATGACAATAAGCGTACAAGTCCAAAAGTAAGCAATTTCAGTAACACCGGTAATTCAAAATATCGCTTTTTCCTCCTCAATCGGTTCTAAATCATGTCTCCCGGATATATTGATGATCAAAACACAACTGGAAGAAGCCACTTAACATCAATCGATTTTCTATAATGTATGTTTTACGTTTATATATGTGAGTATTGTTTTCTCCGTACACGGGGTAATTTACAGTTTTTCATTTTATTTTGAAATTAAAGTTATACCAAATCACAACTAGGCTTCACAGAGTATCTTACAGGCTAACAGAGCATTCATCATCTAGGATGATTCATTCACAAATATCGACGACATTTTCCTACACTCCTTTCAGACGGGAAAATATAAAACAAAACAAAAACAAAACCGAATCTCTTACAGATATGGCACATTAAATTGATTTCTTGTCCTTTTATCTATTATAAATACTTGGCGTGACACTAAAAAAAATAAACAAATTCTCAAATAAATAGTGCTAAACAATTAGGTTATATCATATGTCAAACTAAAAAAAAAAACAATTGGCCTACTATTCTTCAGCTTCGCGAGACTCCAGGAAGCTAAAGATCTCCTTGTACTCCTTAACTCGGGCGATCATCAGGGGTGTCAGTTTCTTGTTGTTGATAGGATTAGTCTTCACGTGGTACTTGTCAACGAGCAGCTTCACAATGTTGATATGATTGCGTTGCGTAGCAACATACAGCAGCGAGTTTCCATAGGCGTCCTGTTCGTCCGCATTGAACTGATAATGTTCAAGCAAGTGATCCAGAATATCCTCGTAATTCTCCTGCACCAGATAGAGCAAGACCGGAGGTTCACTGTTTCTCAACCGTTCCACGCTGGCACCGTTGTTGAGCAAGGTTTTTACTATATCTAAATTATTGCACACGACCAACTTGATCAATGTCGTTTCGCCATGATAGTTAAGCTCGTCCACCGAGCACTTGTTGTCCAGCAGCATTCGGACGAATCGCACGTTCCCTTTGGTCACCGCTAGATGCAGCGGAGTTGTTCCGGAGCGGTTCTTTGCATTGATGTCCGTGCCGGATCAATTCACGAGCGATTTCATATTCGTCACGATCCGCGCACAGATGCAGTGCCGTTTGGCAGAATTCATCCTTATGATTAATATGCTTGGATCCAGCGCCTACTAGAATACGCACGACCTCCTTCGATTGGGCGTAAACGGCGTTGATGAAGCACAAGGGGGCACAACTGACGTCGACGCCATTTTTCAGCAGGAAGTTCAGCATCGGGATGTTTCGGTTCAAAATAGCCATGTTGATTGGCTGAAAGTCCGAGCTTAGAGGATAGCTGATTTTGGCACCATGTTTGAAGAGGAGTTTCATCAGTTTGAAGCTGTTTGTGTACATGGCGAATGCTAGGGCATTCAATCCATATTCTCCACAGGTGTCTGTGCAGACCCCGTGCTTGAGAAGTGTTTTGACAATTGAAAGATAGCCCTCTTTGCAGGCTATGTTTAGAGGAGTATTCTTCACCAGCTTTGTATTGTTCACGAGTTTGAGCATGCCCGGAATCGTTAGCAGATAGTTCAGTATTCTACCTCGATTGTAGCTGGCAGCTGCGTGGATAACGTTATTGCAATTCGAGTATATTCTACTTGGATCAACCTTCTGCTCTTCCACCAAGTAGCGAACAACGTTCAAATTATCGAACTCGATCGCTTTGTGTAACAAGCATAGCTCGCTGGAAAACGACGTCAATTCCGTACTGGAATCGATCCCCAAGCCAACAACTTCCACTGGAAGTTTTTCATCTTCGCTCATCATGTTGACATCTGCCCCAAACTTGGTGAGAACCTTAACAATGTCCAGCCAGTTCAACCTGGTTGCCAAGTTCAGTGCCGAGTATCGCAGACCACTCACAGCGTCCAGAT